AAAAAAAGTTACATTTTATGATAGCGTTAGTGTAATTGGTTTAAATAACTCGCAATATTATTTTACCCAAAATGTAAATTAATTTTGCTTAAATATAATTAGTTGAATAATCCGACATTGCCCGAAAAAATGATTGTGACTCCTTTATTAGTTAACTCCTATATAATTTAAGCTTCTATCAGAATTTTTTGAAGACCAGTTATACGTGGACGTTCCATATTATAGTGTATTAGAATCACCTCATAAAATTCGTTGTTCTCAAACCTCTCGAAGCTGAAAAGGTAGCCTATAACATTATTGATATTTTCTCGTTGCTTGAAGCTTCTACTATTTTACAATCCGATAATGGACGAAAGTTTTCAAACCAAATAGTACCTAATTTAAGAACAATGTGACCAGACTTTAAAATAGTAGTTAACAGTAATATAGTACAACATTAATTATAGTAATTAATTGTGGTAAACCAAAGCATAGCCAATATCAATGTAGTGTAGAACGAGCAAATCAAGATATAGAGAATATGTTAACAACGTGGATGCAAGATGAAAAAATATGAGTAATAATATATAATAATTATGTAATATAACATATAATAAATTGTTTTTCGCTTTGCCTAAAAAAAATTAATATATAAATTAAAGATATTTTACAAGAAAATGCTAACAATTTTTTCTATGATCAGTATTTTAATTCCAACTATTACAAATTTAAGATTTTTCCATTTATGTTTTATTCTTATACATCTTAACATTCCATTTATTATAGATAGGTAATATTATATTTTTTTTTTCAAAAGTTTTATCTACTCATTACATGAGGTAGATATAAAGTATAAAATAAGAAGTAAAGAATATATGATGTAATATATTCATTTGATTATATGAATGGTTTTAGAGGAAATGGCGTTTGGAATATTAAAAAAAAAAACAATTAAATAACATAATGCAAATAATACTGAGAATCCATCTAACTAGCAATATAATTAAAACAGAATGAACATTTATATTTAAAAGATAGAAAGAGCAATCGAGTAAAATATCACTTTATATTTTCAATTATTTTTTATGTGTATTATAAAATATTCAGCGGTTCAACACATTTTTTATCTTGCAGACAGGGTTCATAGGTTTTTAAAAATTTTTTGATTAAAATTTGAAATGTTGTTTTGGTTTTAAGTTTATACTACAACTCTTGTGTCTTATCAATGACAACAATTGATACGCATTTAATTCGTATAATTCGTTAATAATATTATATAAAAGTAAATTCTGCGTGTTTCTTTAGCTACTGATTTGTGATAATAAAGGAAACTTTCATAAAGCAATTACATTTCTTATTTGTATTTATGTTTGTTGTCTGAAATACGATAAATAGGCTAAGCTAACAATGCACTTAGGGAAAAAAAAACAACAGTAATGTTGTACTTGTTATTGTTCAATATGTATATTAGTATACTTATCTATCTACGAATATCGTTATTCGTCTCGTCGGTCATGTTTTTGTTTCGTAATAGCATCATTGTTACGTGATCTTGTAGTGAGTTGGACTAAGAAAAAAACAGTTTTATGTATCAACGATCATTGGTCACAGTTTTCCAAAATATTTTATTTAACACATTTTTGTATAATGTGCTAATTCTGGAAATAAAATCTGTCAAAAAGAAAGAATACCTATACAATTATAATTATATAACTATATTTCACATGGTCTTAGGCACGTCATAGTACGCCAATACTCACATTAGGTCTATACAGTGTGCGATCGTATTATAACATTATGGACAATTTGTGTTCTATATCACCGATACAGATTTGCATTCTTTCATTATATTATATTACTGCTCATATATATTTACCTTGGAATCGAGTTTTTCAATTTTAATGTTGGCTGTGATCTCTATTATCAGGGTATTCAAGATTTCCATTTTAATTATAGGTTCTAATGACTTTTAAACAGTTGAATTATAATTTACATTTTTATACCAAGGTTTAAAGAAGAAACAATTGGAATGATACTGAGACTAATAGTGTTAATTTTTATTTGCTTCGTACCAAATATAATGAATGCAACTCTATTTAAACATTGTGTAAATTACATATTCCTATATACTCATATTATATTAGGTATATGTAATATTGGTTTTAGTTCTGTAAAATATTGATGAATAATCGTTCTATAAAAATGATTCATATTAACGTAACAATAAACATATTAATTAGCATCTTAAAAATAACTCGAATATTCGTAGTATAAATTAATTTTACTTGCTTGAACTTAAATGATATGCCTTATAAAAAATAATGAGTATTGAGAGTGAACTTATTAACTATATTATGAATGGGTTTATATTAAGTACCTATATTTAAAAATATTTTAAAATAAAAATAAAAATGTTTATTAAAAGCAAAATGGATTATAATCATTATATTTATAAATGTAGAAAAATAAGTACACAATCACATTTTCCTTAATCCAAACTAATTAAACGCACATGAAAAAATAACTAACATTTATTTTTTACAGTTGTTTGATATGTACCCGGCCGATTATTTAGTTTGTCCCAGATAATAAAAAGTGAGAGAAAATTAAATTTAACATTATATTATTAAAAAACAAAACATAGAATAATATTATATAATATATCATTATAGTTTGGTTTTCTAATTGACATGGTTGTATACAAGAATAATGTATTTTTATTTTAGTTAATAAATATTTAAATTACAAAATGATATACTTATTTTTGTTTTCACAAATACGATACACAAAAAAAGATAAAAAAAAGTTATTCCGTTTGATATCCAGGTTTAGGGATTTCAAAATCTGGCAACCCTATTGATATGTATAATAATTTACAACATATGGTTAGCCTTATACAGCGGCAGATTGGCTTAAGAAATCAGCCCGAGAAATAACTGAGTGACAAGCCCATTTAATATAATATAGTAATAATAGTTAATTTATGACTATATTTATTAAGTATGTAAAAAAAGTTAGTTTAAAACTTTAAAAATCACAAAATATGACAATCGGGCCACCGGGAACTTTTCCGAAATACAGGTGGTCCGCGATCCATTGCTAACCTTCTGTACAGAATACTACTTATTTTACCAATAAGAATAAGAACGTATAATAATCACACTCTTGTTTGAACGATAATCGACAAGTTTTTTTTTTACTGAAGATTTTTAACTAAAAAAAAAAAACCAATTTAAATAACTATTTCGAACTCGAACAAAGTAATATTTTTTTTGTTCAATATATGATCTCTAAAGAGGTACTGAATAATACGAATTTTGGTTCAACCTTACACTAGTGTGGTCCCTATTATCGCAAAAAAAAAATGAAATGAAAAATGTATTGAAACGTCACGTATTCATGTTTAAAATATCTACCTACCCAATATTATATAGAATATTAAATATTAAAAAAACTGACCATACTAGAATGACGAGCAATATATACGCTGGTTAAGCCAAAACTATTAAAACTGTTCAAAATCCTTTTTTCACATATATTCACACATTGGACATAAACAAGACACTAATAAGAACTTTAAGATAAACGCGGTTATTTTAAATGTACACGAAGATGATATACATAAAAACGTTATTAAATTGAATTGTACAACAAAATGCAAATCTACCAATGATTACAAACCGTGTTCCGTAGACAACGCGTTTTCAGAACGTACTACAAACTTTCTTGCGAAATCAAGTGATAACGCCAAGTATAGGGCTGTTAGCTGGAAAATGTATTACGTCCACGCTCCGTAATAAGGATAATTTATTTATTGAAGTTTTAAAAAGACCAATTAGAAAAATTAGATAGTATAATAACAAACGTTGGTGAAAAGTAAATCGAAATCGTAACAAAAAATCATGACTTGCATATTATTCAATATAAACGACGAGTTAACGCGCATTATGCCGTTACATATTAAACGAATTGAAGACCCTAATTGATACGAACGGAGCGACGTGCGTTTTCATAATGTTCTACGGGGTGGTACCGGCATGATTAATATTTACTTCTGTGATTCGGAACACGTTTTTATACGTTGTGTTCGAGGCCGGATTAAGCACATATTGGGCCGCCCCGGGGCTGAAATGTTACCTGGGCCCTTTTTACAAAACATGTTTTACAAAGCCGCTCGCAGAACGATACATTTTTTTTTAACTATTTCACAAATCGTCAATTGCATTACAAAATTATAAAATTTACATCTATAACACTACTAATTTCAGTACGATAAAAAATGTGCGTCGGCTTAAAATTGTTCGGGCCCCGGGGCTACCGTCCCAGCTAGAGCCCCCCCCCCCTTAATCCGGTTTTGGCAACTCGAGTAACGTGATTAGCGGACGGAAAAACGGCACGAGAACTCGGAACAGTCCGTGTTTCCACGGGGAACATCGTGCAAACAGCATCAGAATGCCAAAACGACGCGACACAGACGTGTCGACATAATCGGACGTGTGTAGCTTCGGTCGGAGAGTGAGAGGAGACGATTTAAAAACGGTGCGGTGGTGTTCGTAGGGCACCGTTTGATCGTACACCGTGCGCGTGCGCAGCACGCGGGACAAAGAAACACTATAGGCGTATTGTTATGATTTTAATGCGCGCGACGTGCTGCGCTCCTCTCTCGGTGCCGTACGACCGCGACGGACGACCGTTCCTCTCCCGTCCGCGCCCGTCACCTGCGCCGTACCACACCGGCTGCAACGTCGCGGCAGCTGCTGCATGGGTACGCCGCGGGACGACGACGGATACGCTGCAGCGGCATCATCACCACCGCGCAGACACCGGCCGGCGACGCGCGCGCGTTATTACCATTATATTTCCGTAACCGCGCGGAGGAGCGCGCCAGCGTCGTCGCAACCGTCGGCCGCCGCCGCCGCCGCGTGGCACCGGCAGCAGCTGCGGCGACGATACGAAAATATTATTGCCGCCGGTACGCGCACGCGCGTGCCGCGTCCGCGTGCGTTCCGAGAGGCGTTTCACACGCATATTTGTCGGCGGCGGCGTGTTTTGTTGTAGCACCGCACCGCGGCAGTGCGCGACCGACATCGGTGCGTTCAGGTCGTCCCGGTGCCCGTCCGCCCTCGTCAGTGTGGTGCCTGTACGTGCGGTTCGATTTACTTCGGTTCCGAATACATTTTTTTTTGTCCGGCCCTCCGCCCAGTCAAGACACTCGGCCGTGCCACGTGCACCGTCCACCGTCCGGCCGGGCCAGTCACGCGGCGTCGCGCGTCCAATCCGTAGCAGATCACATCCGGTCCGGAGCGGCTGCCCCACGTAGCTAACGGCCACGGTAGTCCGTTCGACTGTTCTTCGCCCACCGCCGGACGCACACGTACGTAGTTATTTTTGTTCGTTTGATCGGTTTCGTGCGTAGTCGTCTTCAGTCGTGCCAGGGCTCAATGTAGCGGCTAGAATAGCCCGGGACGACTACGAACGACTGTTGTTCATCCGCGACTCCGTGTGTCCCGCGAGTCACAAATAGTGTCGGAGATATTTTTAAAGGGATTTTTCGACCGCGGTCCCGATCGCCTTCCCCCTGCCGCCAATAATAATTTTAGTCCGTGTTTGCCCGGAACAATATGAAAATAAAACGGTATAAACGTCCGCTTGTTGTAAATCAACCCTCATCTGCTCGACGAAAATAGTTTACGAAAGCGGTTACCGCTGGCGGTGACAGACCAGAACGACAAGTTAGAAAACACAAACGGTCGTTTGAAAAAAATAAAAATAAAAAATGTTGTACAAATACAAATAACTCTGGTGTTGGATTATGTTTCAAATGTTTCTAGATCGCTAAACGATGTAAAACTCTTTTAAACTGTGTACCTTTGCTAATAATCATGCGGTGCGCTAAACACATACCTACCTACTGTATCCGACCGGTCGCGTGATTGTTCAAAAATCCTGAACACACGCAATCGAATTAAAAAGACGTGAAACGCTAGTCATCTATACCTTACGGCTCAACCACTCTGGATAGACTGCAATTAGCCAATTTTTTCTACCTTTTTTCGGTTCTCTGCCCAAAAGACTCTCGCTGTCTTGTCCCGCGGTAACCGATCGTACGGCCGCGTGACTGCGCCTCGATGCGATCGTCGCGTGTGGTAATATTATAACGCGGGAGTTAAAGACAACGTGTATCACACGTTAGTTATTACTGTCCCTGGATGAAAAATCAAAACGAAAAAGAACTTGAGTATTTTTAACGTGTGGTTTATTTAGGTCGTATAGTGACGGTGATGACGGGCCGTGTTATTTCAGTGCGCGCGCGGCTACACACAAATGCATAATTTGTAATACATTATATATTATTATGTCATATAATAGTAATAATAATAATAATAATAATAATATCGTGAACGCCGTCCCTGTTACGCATCGGTAATCACGATTGTTTTTATTGTTATTTCCGTGCACGTTTTTTTTTCTCGTTGTAAAACGTGGAAACGCTACGAAAACACACAAAAAAACGAAACTCAAAACCTCGGTCGTTCGCGACAACACTCGCGTGTGCACCGGAGACGGGTTCGTAAACAAAATCATTTCTCGGACGTCACGTTCTTCTTCCCACAACGCGCCACATTATTGTTTATTATTATTACAAATTTTTATCGTGGTCTCGTGTAGCATTAATAATATACATCGCGGCATCCAGTTGTCGTGTACACGCCGCGGAATCGACCGAAACAACAATAAAATAACAATTACAACGATTTATGATTTATTATTTTATTCGCCGCAATCGAGCTGACTTATTTTTTATTTTTTTCTACTCCTAAAACAATCGATCGTTTTGTTTCGCGTCGCACGCTGGTACGCGGGGATGATGGACGTGGCGGTTTTTTCGCGCTGACTCTTGCACAAGTCGATCCTGTCCCGCAATACCCGTTGAATGTCGCCGGCGGCGGTCGTTGCCACGGCTTGTTGCGTGCGCAACGGTTCCCACGACGTTATTTGTTCGCGACGCACGTGGGAGACAACAACGGAAAGCGACGGCTGACCGGTTGCCGATGATTCGTCGTGTGATTATCGTCATTCCGGTAAAAACGACACACGCGGCCAGCTAAGTGTTTTGGCGCGTAAAACCGACGGGACGGTAGAGGAGCGGACGAGGTTAGGTTTCCGGTCGGTAGCGACGTTGCTTGCCGAACAACACGTTCCGGCGGTTGTTAACGCTCGTCCCCAAAACGAACATCAATAATAAACATGCCCGGCGACCCGGGAGAGTACGTGATACCCGACGGTAATTACTATCGGTCTCTGCTGTGTACCGTCCCGTCCCTGCCCGAGTGTGCCCGAAGTCAATTTTTGGACTCGGTGTGTTCGACGCGGGGCCACGAAAACATGTACCAAATAAAAATACACCATGTCGTACACGTTACTAATGCACGCGCGTGTTTACACGAATTTATCGTAATCACGCTGCTCGAATCTGTAATCATTTTCGCTACGTTTCATTTCTCGACGGTTCACAAACGCGTTTTACATTGCGTACGATGTTTTGGGATCTAAAAAAGAGCTGTTCGGATACAAAGTGGGTACGACGCGTTTTTGGAATGTGCGATCATCGCAACTTACAAATTTTTGTATTGCCCGGAAAAATCGCAACGTTTGAGCACTCGCATACATTTATTAGCTAAGATATATTGTTGCGATTCTTGATTCTCGAATTATTTCTAACATTTATTAAAATTTTTTTTTTTTGGAACTTGATGCAAGTTTGAAATGTATAAATCATTAGTGGAATCAATAATGAATGTATGCAACATATAAATGTGTACCTTGTTTAGTAACATATAACATTAAAAAGAAAGGAAATATTTCTGAGCATAATAAATTTGTTTGATTTTCATAACACGTTTAACAGATTTTTTTTCTGACTTTTTAAAACCATGCTACATCATGCTTTAAGATTTTTAATACCGAAAAACTCAACCCTTGTGATTATAAAATTATATTATAGTTTATCGATGTTTTGTACACCACATCTACGTATGCAACTTGATAGGTTCACGGTTTAAACGATGTTTTAACAGGCCGTCATACCCTCATTCATCTTCTTTATTATTTGAGTATAAATATTTGCCTAATGTATTATATATTAGTGACATAGTATACATTTAATATACTTATTATATTTTCGTTGATCCAAATTTGCAGTTTTTAATATTTTACTATATTACATTTTACTTATTATTTATGCCAACAATATGATCTATAATGTTATTTGATTAATACCACTGATATTTTCTTGTGTACCTACGTTTTTAAGATAGTTTGAAAATTATTTCAATTCGTAAAAAATAAATCTGTCTGTACATACATCTCAGAACAATAGACAATTAACGAAAATATAGCCAACGGTTGGACGCGAAAAATGTGATAAAAACTATAATTTTCTTATCAATCAATTTACGGAATATTCGGGATTAAAAAACTACACTGAAGGTATGCGAAATATATTATACATATGATTGCCATCATCTTGTAAGCGTGTGTAAGCGGTGGAAAATACTAATACGTGATTACAGTTACATTCCTTGGAAAGGAAAATTTATAAATATCTATTGAACGCCTCGTCGTCAAATCGACATTATAATAATCCTATATCGGTTGTAAGATTGGGCTATCGTTTGCTTATATGACTATAAAAATCCCTTCCTTGACAAATTTTGATAGATAAAAATGTATTGATTCTGTACGATGACGGCTGCTGCCTGTATGTCATTATATTGTATTTATTCGTGTATGTAAGCCAAAAAGTGTTGAGTGCACTGAAGCAAATTTATACAACGTGTAATTGATCAATTGGTTTGGAATTAAAGGATGACATCGAAATATTAGTTTTCTCCTTCCATCGTGTACAAACTGTAATATTAAAAAATATAAATTAATTATAAATATAAATAAATATAGATTTTTAAATATCAATTAAAGCTAATATAAATCAGCACTTATATATAATTTCTTTAATAATTTTAATTTTTAAAAAACCTGTATAAGTAGGTCAAATTGTGTAATGTCTTCTTAGTATTGTTTTTACCATAAGTTTACTTAATTCAAGTTATTTGGTTGCAAAATAAGAAACGTGTGAAATGCGGTTTGGTGTTGTAAAAATGTGTACTTACGAGTATATAAGATATACATATATTGGATATAACCAGGTTTGTGATTTTCATGTTCTTTTTTTGCTATATCGTATATGAAAATGGATTTGATCAAAATTTGTTTAGCGTTATTTATAAATTAAATATGAAATCTTGTTCTGTAATTTTGCATATTTAACCGGTAAGGGCATACGTTATAAATGCATGATTTCGCGAGTTTTTCGTGTTATTACTTTCTCAATTTAATAATACATTTTTCTCATTTATAAAATTTCTTGAATTTGGCCGATACGATTTTACCATTGTAATTTTATTTCGGTGGTAATAATAGCAGTAACATGTGATAAAATAGGTCTGGATTGGTGGCATCGCGCGTAAAATGTCAAAAGCACAGAATCTGTATACATCTGATATATACAATAGTTTATTGTCTATATCTGTGGTTAAAAGTTAAACAACATCTCTAATCTATTTAATATTATTGTGGACAAACCGATAGTGTTGTCGGCGTCTCGCGAGTAGTAATACGTTGTTCGTCGGAGTTCGTAAATTTTCTATTAGTTTAATTATAATTTTTATATTATTTGTTACATTTAAATTTCAAAAACCATAAGAAAAAAAGACAACATCCAGTCGTTTACAAAGCTACTTTGCAGAATTTGGAACGGGAATATTTTCAACAGATAACCAAATTTTGTATGTAATATAAAAGTTTCAAGTGAAAACGTTTTTCTGTAACTCAGCATATCGCAACCGAAAAACATCGTAAAGATGTTAAACGCGTTGAAGAAAAAAAGGATAAATCTCAACAGTTTTTCTTACAAAATTCAACAAAATCGTCATTCAAATCTGATTTACGTAGAGCCATGTTGAGTGCTAATATTCCTTTCAATAAACTGAGAAATCCACATTTTAAAAAATTTTTGAAAAAATATACATCGGAAGTTATACCAGATCAATCAACGTTACGAAAATCATATGTCGACAGTTTTTACCTGGAAACTATTGGAGAAATAAGAAATAAAGTGGCAGAGAAAAAAAGATGGGTTTCAATGGATGAAACGACGGTCGTTACATTGCCTCCGTTATAATCGGAACACTACTCACAGATCGGCCAGATGAAATTTTTTTATTAAATGTCGAGCAATTAGAAAAGGCTAACCATAGTACTATGTGTACACTATTTGAAGATTCTCTTGGTTTACTTTGGCCTGGTGGCATACGTCGTAACGATGTATTATTGTTTTTAAGTGACGCCGCATCCTATATGATGAAGGCAGGAGATACTTAGATAATATTGTAATATATAGCATACATGTTATATGATATAACATGTATGCTATATTGACGTTTCAATGATTTAGTGATTTGAGATTAATACTTCACATTTAATGACTATTCATAAAATAATTGTAAATTATAGATACTCCTTCACGAATATAATACTTAAAAAAAGTTCAAGTCCCACGGCTGATGTAGAGATGCAACTCGTGTGAACTATGATTACACGGACTCGTCCGACGATCTGATTCCATTTTATAAGTGTATACCGATCAAGGATCTACAATTTTTTAAATTTTAAATTTTATCCGTACAGCGAGGCTGACAAGTTTTGTGTGCTGCATTTTAAAGACTTATTACGTGACCAAAACGGCTCATAACAGTTCGACATATGTATTATTATTGAACGTTCATAGCTTTTTTTCTTTTAAGATTGTCCTTTCTGTGTTCGATTTCTAACGAAGTGTGGTTAATATATGTGTTTATAATACACAAATACACACACTCAAATTCAATATAAAATATCTTAGTCCGTAACATTACTACGTTCCCTATAAGTGGTAATAGCTTATGTTGGAAAAAAAAATTAAAAAAAAACCACAAATGTAAATACATAATGGATTCGTATAAAAAAACGATTTATATGTAAAAGTATTTTTCTGTATTGAAATAATAACGAAACGTATGTAAATTCCTACATGGGTGTATTACCGTTAGACACGCGCCAATTATTCGATCGTTCGGTGGTCGCATTGACACTTGTCGCCTTGCGTTTTAAGATGAGATATTTTTTTTCTTAAAAGCAATCTATTGTCTTCCAATGTTTGTAAAAATGAGAATACACTTCGTTAAATATTTCAAGACAGAATCTCTCTAAAAACATTTTTGTACTTGGAATTTATTAAATTATTTAGATTTTATTTATCAAATTGAACGGTTATTAATATATACTTGACAATACTTCGTTTGAAAAATTCGTATGAATAAATTTTATCTTATTTTAATATTGGTTACTGGAATATGTATCTAAAAAAAGATAATCCATATAAAAATATAACTTCCGTACGTTACATAAATACTCAGATAACATTATACTAGTAGTATTTGTTTTGTAGCTTCATTTAATAAAATAGGTATACCTAACGATGGCATGGATGTTAATTTAATTTTAGATTTTTACTGCCCGCTCCTATCTCGTTTTTTACCATCTCGGCTACGCTTTACTAACCGAAGTACATTACATCCGATTATAAATGTACACGTATTATATTTATGTACACCGGGGCCGAACGGTTATATAATATGAATAATACATTGTAATTATTATACCTACACCTGATTGACTTATTAGACCTCGGATGTGGGCTCATTCCGATTCCAGTGCAGTTTCTCGGGGCCAACTATTACCATGTATACGGTTGTCATCCGAGATCAAATTGTTTTCGTTCGGAATTAGGTATTGCCGGTCCGGCTACCGGGTATACGAGGCCGCGGCAGTTCTTCGATTAATCACGAGCGCTGTGCAAGACGGAGAAGCTGAGAAGGCCACCAACGCTGGGTCGTAATAATTAATTTACCAATTCCAAGCCGCCGTTCATAATAATTTACCGTGGGACGACGTGAAATGTTTTATGCATTAGTAGTTCATATGGAAGTCATAACACTAATTACCGCCTCATTTACAAAATCGACGTCATTTCGCTTTTAAACTGCATAACATATACATGTAATAATAACTGTGTTATCGTTTTACACACCGTCCAATGCGCGTATTTTGGTCCGTGAAGACCATGATGACCGATGAGTGCGTTTACTAGATAGGTGATCGTTGGAAGGGATTCACGTCTAAAACTACGCTCACGGTGTATGTGTGTTCTTACATTCATGTGAGTAAATCAATCTCTAGAAAGTTTTTTCTCTTCCTCAAAGCTTTCCTTTGATGATTTTAATATTCCTCCGTGGTACTCTGTTGAAATAAAATGACATAAAGAAAAAAAAAATTTCAAATTTACTGAATCGAAGTTCTTTACTGTCGATTTGTCTCGGTTCGTGTGTGTGTGTGTGTGTGTGTGTGTGTGTGTGTGTGTGTGTGTGTGCGCGCGCGCGCGATTCACGTGCGATGCGTTCGGCTTCTTGGCCGCTATAAGGACATACGACGAGTTCTGCGCATAATATTATAATAGTCGCGTTGAGGACGTCATATGGCACTCTTGGCGACCGACGACTTTCAGTCATGCCAAGCCTGTACGTACATAGAAACTAAACATATTTATCGTTATATATACTCTTGTGTTGAAACGAGGGAAATGGAGAGAGAGATGATAAAAAGCGTTCGCACATTTATAGGAGAGTTGTCAGACGTGTATACCCGTTGCCGCCACTGTCGATGATATAGTATATTATTATTTTATCTGTGGCGCGAAAACGGGCGTGGTAGCGTGTCGTTGTCGGTGAATTCATTATCGGCGGGCCCATAGCTGTCGTCGTAATTAAAACCGACGGTTATTATTAATGTCAATGGTACTCGAGTTCCATATTTTTCCGTGTAGTTACATGTTAATCGTAGATACGTATACAAACACACAAGCGTGCGCGTGTATTATGTTGTAATCTGTCGTTGTACGCGTTTCTTTATCATCGTGCGATTAAATATGTACAGTCGTTGCATAGTTTACCTACTTAGATGTATGTTATCCTCGAGAACAATAAGGTTGATTTAAAATAAAATAAAAATGCTAATAGTTTTACGGGGCAATAATTTCAAGCTGTACAACACTCGCTTGTAATGGGTAACCTATGAACGATTTGACGGCATTTTGAATAATAATACGCACTCATCATAATCGCACGCGTTCGACTACAACATTCGAACACGAAATAAACGTCAGATTTTATAACCGTTTGAAAACGTTATAACTCTCTTTTTTTTCCGCTTCGGTTGGGCGTAAAGGTTTGCACGTTCTGTGTTTATCTCCCACCCGCCTAAATTGTTGTCGGAAAGGTGCATCGTTAATAGGCGCATTGGGATGGTTTATGAAACTTCGGAGTACGTCACGAAAAGACGAAATCGTGCCTCGAGGCCGTAAAATATTTAAAAAAAAAAATTAATATATATGCACAAACACGGTTAAAAAAAAAAACAGTTCGCGCTACGTTCGACACTTGTGATTCGCGCTCACTCGACGCACCGCCGTCACGATATACACATTATGTAAACTCGAAAACGCACGTATTGCAAATACGTCTCGGGCGAACCGATATCGCGTCCAAGTGCTTATGGGTGATAAAATAAAACAATCGTTGTGCGTTTCAGACGAGAAGCAGTTTCGTCAAGTGGCGACCGCCGCCGCGCCTCGGCGATGAACTTGAGAAAGCAACAGATGCATCTGCAGCTGCAGCAGCAACACCAGCAGCAGCAGCAGCAGCAGCCGCACAGGCGCCAGGACAACCGAACCGGCTTCGAAGTGCTGTTGGATCAACCGGCGGCGGCGCGGGCGACCGCGGAGACGTCGTCGTCGGCCGGCGTCAGTGCCGGTACCGCGTGGTCGCCGAACGTCGGTGCCGCGTGGTCGCCGGGCGGCGGTACCGCGTGGTCGCCATCAGCCGACACCACCGCGGGCCGCTACCGTAACCATCACGTCCACTACCATCAACACGACCGACCGAACGGTTCGGCGGCGGAACCCGAGAACGGTTGGCCCGGCAAACCGACCGACGCCGCTACGCCGAACGACATTGGTTTCGTCGACGGCGACGGCGGCATCTCGCCGACCGCAACGGCCGCGGCCACTTCGCCTCCGCCACCGTCACCGTTGTCCTTGCCCAGTCCGTACTACGACCGCAATCCGATCGTCGGGTTCCCGCTGCACAATCACCACCATCAACATCACCACTCGTCCAAATCACCGGTGACCGCCGCCGCCGCCGCCGCCGCACCGTTGGCTAACGTGCAGAACGTGGTACACGCGGGCGCCGATCAAGATCACCACGATCACTACGCGAACAATTCGAAAGTAAGATCGCCGATTAGATTTTTCCGACCGTGCAGGATTATTTTCAATTTACATTCGGTTCGTAAAATGTATTCTTACCGCGCGTGTGCTATACGCGAAATCGCGTTGTTTTTATTCTTAATATGTCGGTTGCACATGCACCACGGTATCGTATAATCTCGATATCGTCCATTTGTTTATCATTTTTTATCGGAATATTATCTTTTTATGCCGACGAAAATATAGCCAGTGTATTATATTGAGAGCGCGTAAAATGCATATATGTTTTTCAATTCGCATCACGTTAAATCATGACCATATTTTGCTGTGTAAACGTATGTGATATGGACTACACATAAACTGGGAATAACAGATAAGCATATCTATGATATTACGATATGAGCGTTTTGATATGAATTAATTAATTAATTAATTAATTAATTTTGATATGAATCATCATTCACGGTGTACTGTTCCAGAAGACAGCATTTCTCAAAGCAAGTATAGCATTTATTTACATTTTTTTTTTTTTATAATTGAGTTACAGTACATTATTCTCAAAGCATAAAAAAATCAAAAACAACGGAATTTTGTTATGCGACCCAGACGTTATACTATGTGACCAAAGGCGGATACACTTTTTTAATTCGTCGTTGAAAAGCAGATTATAAGATTTAACAAGTCAATTACGGTTAATTGGATATTCATTATATGTCATTTACTTTTAAGCATAATTTTACTACACATACTTGGTGCGTTTGTTTTTGATGGATCGCATTAATTTCATGTAATTATGACATTTAGGCAGTAATAAAAAGAACAGTCGTGGGTCATAATTTTCTTATAATTAACCATAAACGGTTTTTAATTCAATCAATTATTTCTTCGTTGTGTGCGCGCGGTCAAAGAAAACAAACTTGTTAACGAATACATCGCGTCGTACGGACCATTTTTTAGAACACAATATTGGATATCTATTAGTTTATTCTTCAAACGTGGGTGTGGCTATTATAGTGCTTAATAATCAATAAATTAATATACTTATTCTTAATAAGGTGTAATTGGACTTCTTTTCGTCACACATTTCCACTGACCGTCTATGTTCGTAAAAATAAAATATTTCCGACCGATTATGAATCAAGGATTTGCTGTAATATTGATATAAAAAAAATTATCCTTGAAGTATGATTAATAGTATAATTGTGACCTCACTGTTAAAATATTTTATGTCATAAGAGTTAAATATTATTGATAATTTCTGATTAATTGTATTCTTATTATTATTAATAATTTAAATTTAATTGGAAAATTTCAGTTTCCTATCTTCTTAATGCGTTATTTTTTAAGTATGAAAACAGATTTTAATGCTTATTTTTTTATTTACCAATTTATTATTTACACCGTAAATTAATAATGTTTTTATTCTAAAATGCGTATCTACGATTTGAATATGCAAAACTTTATCAAATATTGCTCTAGAGTGCCTGGTTTTCAATAATATAAAATTTTCACCATTTTCATGTACTTTTATGTATATATGCTTGCATATAATAATATAAACGACGTTTATTATAAAAATCGATTTTTGTCTCTTTTCGTATGATCAGTACTACTATCAACGACAAAACCACAAATCTGGTGGCTTAATGGATGAACGGGACGATGATAAGGAAAATATCAAGCAAAGAGACGCAGAAAGTCTACAGCAGCAGTTGGATGAGGTGTTGAGAGCGTGTGTGGATTATGAGGAACGTAACAAAAATCGGCAACTTCAGCCGGCAACGATGTCGTTAGAAAGTTCGGGTAGCGCGTCACCCGGATCTGCGACCACCACAACACCACCACAACAGAACAGGTAAAAGGACTAAATTTGATGGTATATGCATATCCTTTAAGAAGTAATTTATTTATTTTTGTTAAGATTTTATCTACTCCGAGTTATACTCAATTAATTAAAACTAATTTCAAATTTTGAAATAACCTTCGCTTAAATCGCTTTTTGAGCTTTAAATAAATGAATGTTCAGAAACGTTGTCTTTCAGGAGATAATTTTTGATTTCTCTTAAAATCGACCTAACAATTTGCTAAAAAAATAATAATTACAAAAAATATATTATTCTATAGATGTTGATTGAATTGATTTTTGCCAATTTCTAGTAAGTATTCGTCATTTGAAAGCTTTTGAAATCAACAAGGTTTTTTTGAGAGTGAGTCTTAATTTTTTTAACTCACATAGTTCAAATTGTATAAAATTTGAACCTGATCTAATTTCTTAAGAACTTTTTTCCGATGTGCTAAATAAAAAAATGATTTACGACATTTCTTTACCTTGATTTTAAAATGTTCATATTCCAATTTCGATTCACAGAAACTCAAAATTATAGATTAATTGATTAGGACGGTTTATTCCTCGTGGCTAATTATAATCCTGGTTACCCTTATACCATTATTACTTAATATTCAGGATCAAAACAAACGGTTCACTTCCACGGGACACTTGCAAAAAAACCAGTAATGGCACCTCTTCTCCGACCGCGACACTGTCACCGACGTCACCGCTATCGCAGCTATCCGTGGCACCATTATCACCGTCGTCCATGACGTGGACCAGCACATCGCCTCCTACACTATCGCCTTTGTCAATACACGCGAACGGGACCGATATTGACTCGGTGTTTTTGGAAAACGACCATTATATGGTTAAGCAGCAGTCGACACAGAAAGTGGCCACTTGCGGCAGTCCCAGAACTAGAATAAGGACGCTCGTACAACCGTCACCAGCAACTGTCACGACAAACATCACCGCAGATTCGTTTTACGGCAGGTAACTGTAGCGTGGCGATGAACACGTGGTATGTTTTACAACATAACACATGGAGTTATCTCTTGTTTTTAAATTTTTAATTTAGTAATAAGAACTACGACTATCAGCTAAATCGCAAACAACATAACGGTGATGACAAAAGCGATGATAATGGCTTAAACGTTCATACTCCAAACGGTTACTTGTCACCCGCGTCTTTGCAGTCGTCTTTTCAATCGCCATCCCAACCGTCGTGGCAAACAACGACCACGTGGCTGCGTTCGTCTCCGTTCAATACAGCGGATTCCACGGATGGTGGTGCGACCACGACCGCGGCAACGGTATCCGGTTCCGATGCGGATAGGGCAGCCGAACAACGTCGGAAGCTGCTGGTCGAGTTGTCGGCGCACAAGTCTCGGCTAGTGGAATTGCACTTGCGTCGCGAAGAAGTCGACAGAGAGGTGAGTGCGATTCTATACACAAATATACTAATTTTATCTTGCCCACTCATTGCACCCGGATTAACCTCGTGACGGCCGAAACTCCCTAGACATTTATGTAGTAACTTATTATAGCGTAATGCGTTTACAGCTGATCATCGAGACAGCGTTGTTGCGCGCCGAACTTGACGTTGCGGACGACGAGACACGTCAATCGGACAATATAGTTAACGGACTGGACCGCGCTGTGAGTGATTGTCGACAGCAAATGGACTTGTGCACGGTCAAACAGCAGGAACAGAGGATGGCCGCAGAGTTGCAACTAGCGACTTACCGGCGAGCACTTCAGGGGTAACGCAAACCGCTTAGATCGTTTTCGACAGTGGAGGTTTTACGGAAAGAGGGGTTCCAGACACTCTGGACCCCCCCCCCCAGGTCACTCGTTTAGGTTTTGATGTATTTTATATGCGGATATATGCTTATAGATACATTCATATATATATATATATAAATCTGGTGATTTCAACCGTATGTCCAAATATTTGAATGTTTGTACAACTATTGCCTATTAAGGTATTTTATATTTTCTTTAAATAATGGGTTAAACATTTTTTGTCTTCATATATTATAAGATAGTGTAAAAGCACCCCCCTTCTCAAAAAAAATTAAAAAACCGCCACTGGTTATCGACGCAATTTTATAGAACTTTTTTGCGCATTGTATAGATCAACATTAGTTTAACTGTATATCTTACGGGGGTGTTCGTAGATTGCGGAACCGGTTGGAAACGGCCGGCGACGACGATGGGCTGAAGAACGAATTACGAACTTCCATTGATAAACAGACTGAACTTTTGGAAACTGAACAAAAAGTAAGTAGTAATCTGTTAAAGCCCTCGTGCTCAACGAGAACGGAGACTTTCATTTTTTTTTTTACACATTTTATTTACAATATTATTATTTAATACATTTAATAATTACGTAATCATAATAATGTGTTTACAGTTGTACGAAGACGTTGAATTTGGATTACTGGAAGAGGAGGCTGGGTGGCTGGCCCGTAGGGAAGAATTGCACAGGGACCGAGCGGCGGCTGTGGCTATTAGACGAGCTCGACGAGCACGCGCCGAATGGTTACGGGCTCAGATGGACCAGCTTCGAAGCGTGGGCGAGGACCAGATTCGAGCTCTACGAACCGATATAAACACTGCAACATTATCCATCCAACAGGTAAAATAGCTATTTTAGACATATTCGGTACTTAATGGGTTGAGGGAGTTGAGACATAATATAGAGAATATAAATGCATAAGCGTAAAAACGTTTTTTGAGTATTTATATTTATTAATGTGCTATTTTAATAGCATTAAAATAAATAAAACTACAACAGTGATTTTTTTATTTTTTTTATTTATAAAGTTTTCTAGACAAAATTATCTAAACTTAAGTATAATGTACAAAATTTTTAGCCATTTATAAAAACGATATTAACATAATATATATATATTAGATAACTAGGTCAACAAATTAGTGATACCTACACATTTATAGATTTAAGATAGTGTTACAAGCAATGAACGATTTACAAAGAGTATTTTCATTGAAGATAATCTAATTTAGGACGTCATGAGGACGACCACGTTTTAGTCTTCGATTGATGGGGCCGACATTTAACCCGAAATATTGTGGACCGCTTGCTTTGCATAGATGACTGAATAAGCTTGCCAATAGATCCTTTATGTAGTTCTTAATTGTTGGTATACAGCGCATCGTTTCGAATAAACTAAGGGACATTTGAAATCACACAGAGGACTTTGGATTGTAGAACTTGGATCTTATTAATGTGGGTTGACGCACATTGACCCCAGACAGTTTATGTTATAAACTAATATATTACCTCTCCGATCCTCATGGCGACTTCTCCATGGACATATTAATTGGCATCTGAAGTTTAAGATGAGATAACCGATTTGTTTTTGAAATAATGAGACTTTTTTCAGTCGTTTGTTATTATAAAATTATTTTATTTTACTTAAACACATATAATGAAAATACATAAAAAATACGCATATGAGCAAAATTTACGCACTCATGATGTGAAGAGCTACTCTGTATGGAGAGCCGATGACCGGCCTCCTTATATGTCATGTTTTATGATTGTGTGTGTGTGTGTGTGTGTGTGTGTGTGTGTGTGTGTGTGTATGTGTGTGTAATCCTTTATCACTATATTGTCCTATTCAATATTTATAACTTATTCTAATGCTATCGATTATTATAATTATTTTACAATACATTTTAAATCTAAAAGATTTGATCACACATTATTACAATTCAAATGTGTTACGTGGTAGTAATACATCGTGTTTCTCATGGTGTATGCATGATCTCCGTTTTTGCGAACACTATGTTTACGTACGACTCTAAAGAACATCTTTATTGTTGTGAAATACCACCCCTATTGATTTCAACCGCAACTTGGCTGTGGATTAACACGTATAGCTGCGAACGTTTTCATGAATTTTGCGATCCATATACTATAGGGTCACAAGAAACTGCAAGATTTGGATACCGCTGCCGGCAGCACGACTGATACCGGTCATCACGATGTGCAAGACCAGTACCGCCGTCACCGATTTCTATACAACTCGACAACATCGACTAATGACCAGCAACAGTCGCCCAAGTCATTGGAATGGCCGTGGGATCAACAATTGAAGTCGCCTGCGTCCCCGCCTCCGTCGTCGCTGTCGTCGTGGGACCAACAGTCCAAATCGTCCGCGTCCCCATGGTCTCCCGCTTCTGCCACGGTAACCGGAAACCCTTTGCAGTCGGTCGGGGATTCCATGGTTGCAAACAACAACGGCCTGATGTCCAGCAGCGTGACGACAACCTGTTGTAGCAGCATCGGTAGCGAGGTAATTATATTAAAAAATGTTTTCCAAATCAAAGCGACGGATCATCTTACAATGTATATTGTCTATATCAGCGTTTTTCAACATGTGATACGTGTACCACTAATGGTACGCAGAAAACTCATAGATGGGGTTATATGAAATACTCGTATTATATTTTAGGAATCACATCCATTTATATAAATAAATATAAAATATAAACATAAATATAAATATGTTGAGGGAATAAAAATTACATTGGGTCAAGTGGTACGTAAACATTTTCAAAATGTGTAGCTAATACTCGGATATAAAAAATGATACACGTAGTCGATATTTGATGCCTACACGAAAAAATACGATTATAACATCAATAATACGTTATTTAGGACGAGTGCAGTAGACCGATATCTGAAGATTCAACCTCACGAATGTCAATGTCCACGGTTTTCGACGGTGGGACTACGATAAAACTACGTCCGAAAAACAAATCGTCTCCGTCAGACATAACTAAGGTTGGTATAGTTGTTTGCCTTTCCTTTATACCGTTCATATGTTAAATGAGCGTTCTATTGAAAAGTACTACAGAAATGTAATATGACATATTGTACACGATAGTACAAGTCGAATTGACTTAACATTATTTATTATAGCCGCGGGTTTTTTCTACAAAAATCCGTAAATCACATTTAAACTGATAAATTAAAGGGTTCCATAAACAATTTCGTTATTTCTGTGCAACTTGTTTAACGCAAAAAAAAAAAAACGACGTTAATATATAAAAACAGTATTGTGTGCATTTGTATTACAAACAAAAAACTTATGTTGCACGTTTATCGGACGTTTCCTATAAATCATTATACAGTATGTGGGTAAACAACAGTTTTTTTTGTTACTGCAGAGACCGTTGACCAGATATCTTCCGGTCAGGTACGACAGTAATGATGCAATCGAAAACCGTATGGCGTTCGATCTTCGTGCGCATATTGAATCTGCGGGTCATCAACTGGACGACGACGGCGACGGAGCGGATAACCGTGGCAATTCTGGTCGACACTTCTGGATAGACAGTTCATCATGTCGTGGTTATTTGAAGAAGCTCTCTGGTGCAGGTAGTAAAGGTTCGCGCCGTAGCGGACGTAAATGGTTGAAGAGATGGTTCGTGTTTGACCGGCGTACGAGGACCCTGTGCTATTATCATCACAGGTCCGACGAAGATGTCACTGCTTCCGCCAGTACCGCTAACCTGACTGAGAAGAAAACCCGAACCCGTCCTAGGGCTACGATCCGTTTTCAGGTTTGTTTGATTATGTGCCTCGTAGATTTCTCTTGAGTTGTTTGCAATGCGTGCGTTTCGCGAGAGGTCGCAGAATGGTTCGGGTTATTTTTGATTTCACATCATCATCATATATTATTATTCCCATCATGTATTATGTATCTTATGGTTTTTAATCAAAATAGTTACGAAGCGTTTTGCAAGGTCTTCGTTTTCGTGTAAGATTTCAAAAATCAATAATGTAATAGGTTCCCTTCACCTACCCCTCTTCCACTGACGATAAATTGTTCAGTAGCAATAGTCATATAAGAAATACGAAACTTGAAAAAAATCATAATATTTTTATTTGATACACCTGATGTAAGACTAGCTGTAGTGTATTTTCTGTTAATTTACTTGTTGCGTGTAGTTTTAATCACCTTACTATATTATTTAATGTCGATGCTTAGATGGACAATTGGGAAGGGAAGAAAACATTTTATAAATAAATAATAGTTCGTTTCGCGCAATAATGATCTTTGGGTGGTCCAATAGATTCTGATCACTGTTCCGTCATCTAATAATATTATCCTCGGGTAACACGATCCGCAATTATTATTCAACAAATCGTTAATCGTCGATGACAGGTAACTTAAACGCATGTGTGCCGAACAACGGTAAATAAGGGAAAAAACTGGATCCAGCCTTCGTCCTCGACATTCCGGCGCGAGGATTGCTATTGTAACATATAACTCTTATAGAAATACTAATCGCGTCCATACGCGTCTCGTGTGTGTTTATGAAACTATGTAGGACATACAGGAGGTGTACGTCGACCACACGAACACTAGCAAGGGACAGGGGTGTGCGTTCGTGGTGAAGACCGCCCAGAGGACGTTCTACCTTTCGGCGGCGACGGGTCAGGCGGTTCGCGTATGGGTGGACGTCATATTCACTGGCGCCGAAGGCTATCGGGAGTACCTGAAAGGGTCGACGAGCGACGGCAATGACAACGGTCGCCGGGCTCAACAAACAAAATCCTAACTCGTAGCCCCGTATCGCGGTGGTTGCACTATTATTACTTTTTTTCTACTATATTATGTTATAACAGCTAACCGCCGTATATTTTTTTTCAACAAATACAGTTGTACCCGTTACTATTTAAAAAATACTCTTGTGTATTATTGTTTATTTGAAACGTCTCTGGCTACAACTACGATTAGTTCGGTTAGTCTTAGAAAACCGGTTTTTGAACATTTTTGTTGCGAGGCAAATTCGACGTTTAATCGCAAGTTGACCATAATTGAAGGCCGTTTGAAAACAATGGTTAGATAAAATTATAGAAAATAATTTATTGATTTACGCGTGAAAGTGTGAAAAACTAACCACGTAGTATGCCTCTAGAATGAAATTGTACGTCCTGTTTTTGTTAGTATTTTCAATAAAAGTTCTTTCTCGAATTAAGCCAGTTGTAAAATAGTTACACAAAATGTTTGTTTTAAATCGTCCAAAATTAAAGATGAAACACATGAAACACAAACACGTTATTGAGATGTAAGTTTGCGAGTATATTTTATTTATTTATTTTTTTTTTTGCTTTAAGCTGAGTTGTAAAAAGGTATCATAGATTTTCACAAATATTATCAGTGATCATTTATCACCTTTTTAAACAAACGTCCGTTTGATGTTCGACACGACCCAGCTGAATATTGTTTATGTACGTAGTAAGCCTGTTAAAAAGTCACGAAAATAATTATTAACGATCCGTTATAGTGCGTTGGGATTTTTGATGCACGGCGCCAGAACTACGGTTGTAAATTACTTCGTGTAACTAAATAGAATCCAATCAATGCATCGAAAACGTTAGGTACCAAACTTGTGCCGATGATACACGGCATGCATTAATAATTATAATGATTGTTTGAACTCGGACAAAGCACGAAAACTGAACGTTATTGAATTAACCTTACAGCTGTAATCGTGTAATCGTAAAATACAACAACGAAATACATTTGTACGAGTTGGTTTTTCGCGGCTATTATCTAGAAAATTATATCCTCATTTTTGTTTTATTTTCATTTGAACACATATAAATCGAACACCTGACGATAAACATTTTAATTCGAAGACAGATATATGCGGAAGTATATGCAACTAACCTGCGTCTTATCGGTTTTATGGATAACCATTCTTGACACATATCCATATGCGCTTACAAAAGTATAACAAATCAATCGTTTCAATTCGCATTAAATTTGTGTAGATCAGCAGATCTCAGACTGTGTTCCGCTAGGACTAGGGCTCCGTAGAAGTCTAAGGGCTGTATAGGCACATCTGATTTAATTGAATTCAAAGAGTATATTTCTTAGTTATCGAGGAAAAACTAATCTGATACGATTATTTGAATTGCGCAATAAGTTGTTTCTTCACCAAACGCCCATTTAATTTACAATTCAGACTCACTGATAAAATTTAGTTTTCGACTTCATTGCCTAATAATAATTAATAATAATTCACAAATGTAAGTGAAGTAAATGTATCAATACAAAATAAATTACCACATTATTAAATTTTAGATTGGATGATTTTCTCAACATAAAATTGAGGATTTGTCTCAAATAGAAATTCCTGATTTACGAGGCTCCGTACATTTTTTTTAAAACATAAAGGCCCCGAGAACAAAAAAGTTTGAGAGTCACTGGTGTAGATAATAATGGTTGGAAAAATAATTTCTTCCCCCGGGTTTAAATGCGGGTAAACTACGGATGACCATTTTAAGACTAAATTATTTGACTGTTTACACTAGCAACGAAATGTTTTAATATTGAACATATTATATAAAATATCATCTACCGTACACGCCTGGCTTATGATCAGAAAATCGACTTGTACATGTACATAATCTCGAATTAAAAAATTAGAAGAACCCTATCACATTTCGCTCATTTAAGTTTCACTGTTTTTCCCATTTAGCGTCTTCTTTGTGATGACAGAAATCCATTCGCCAATAGTTAGAAAACACTCAACTTGAGGAACATGATGCTCGGTCATTTCATTTTATAGGTAAATAAACGCACGCGAGTGTTAAGTGACGAAAAATAACGTTTACGTAAATAAAATTTTTACAGGCGTAACGTAAAACACAGCTAATAGTCTCGATGATACGTAATATAAATTCGACGAAAATAAAAGACCCTTTCACAACATTACTTTTGAACATGACGGCGGATAATATGTGTAATATAATAACTATTTGGTATAGTACAATACAAAATAAAAAAACGGTTTGTAAACAATCAATAAAACGGTAAAACTATAACAAGACAATGACATTACATCCTCGGAGTTCATAAATTAAATAAAAGTAAACATTTCCATAAACAATATTTTTTTTATAAAATCGCAAGCAGTGGTTTGCCAAGAAAGTCGTGACGAACCCGACGGACACATTTATTATTTAATGATATGCATGCATAAGTACGGTTTACATATGAACATCTTAAACGATATGATAAACATACATTTTATACCAACAGCATATTTAAAAACTTCACGATACTGATACATGCGTCTTACATTTATTTATAATACTGTTTGTTTTCTGATTTACCTGTATTATAATATCGTAGTTTTGCGTGGCAAAAGTTCAAATATTATATAGTAGTTTAAGACATGGTTACGATCAAACCACAAAAATATTTTTTAATACTATGACCGTGAATACAAAATTTGTCCACGAGTTTTGCCTTACATGAATAAAGTCTTATTTTATATAATACTTTACATCTTTGAAATTATTGTTATGGAAAATAATATGATATTGATAAATTATAATAACTTTACTATAACTTCCACTGATGATATAAGGACAAAAAAAACTAATAATTTCTAATGGGTTTATAATTTTTCTTACCAACACTCTAGCGGTGTACATTATACGTTACATTATTAAACAAATACTGCGAATTGGTTGAAATAAAATAATAAATTACTTTATAATAAGACTAATTATTCTCAACTATCCAAATTTTTATTTTATTTTTTATTTTCCATTGCCTATCGTTAATAGTGCAAGTCTAATCTCATTTGGTTTTCTTATAAAATCAAAATTCTAATTTCATGATAGGATTTAGTTTGATCTTTGACCGATGTTGATTCATTTTAATTAAGGCTCTCACTATAGAAAAAAATGAATCAAATCATTACTATCAAGTCTCAGTAACATATAGCACATTAGTTTGTGTTAAGCACAAATTTTAATAATTATATAAATTATTAATATTATTATCGTATACAACAAGTCGATTTTTCTTTCATACCACCAACGACTACAACGAATATTAACGCCCATTGACTACGTTATATAATATTTCAAATATCGTTTGAATTTCACACGGCGTTCGTGTTTGTTATTTTCATTTAATATAATATATATTAAATGACAATATAGTATAAGAACACGGTAAGTTGATAGTATTTCTGAAGGTTTTTCTGTAAATTATTATTTTTTTTTTTTTTATAAATTAATAAACCGCTATCATATATTATTCAACTGCTATTTTTAACAATATCTGTTCGGATTTAAACACACGTGTTTCGATCATTGCAATTATTGGAAACGCGACTGTTTAAAAAAAACATTATTATTATACGCACTTGAATTGGGATTTTTTTTCTTTCTATAATCGTATTTCTATTCTAATGCACTTTTTTTTTTTTTTTTACGCTGGTCTTGTGCGCGCTGCACCATTACGAAACATCGAACTCGGAAATCAAATCAAAACATCTGTTTTCCTGTACCGAACGAACGACCGCGTGCGTCTGAAACAACAGTATACTGCACCCTGGTTCCGGACCCGTGTTCGTTACGTACGCAAGTCTGTTATTTTACACGTACGTTATAACATCACAGCCCGCGGAGGAAATCCACTTGAACACATATCGTACTAGTTGCCGCGCCTCGATATGCGTGGAAAAATAATAATAATAATAATAAAACATTTACCGAAGCAAAACAGACGCCTCTAGCCGGCTGTTGTAGCGATAATGTTATTATTAGCCGATCCTGTGTAAATACGTACGTGCACGACGCATGTACCCGTTACGAGTGGTAGTACGTACCGCGGCATATGTACACATTACAATGTGTTCGTTATCCGGCTACCGTGTGTCGTTTTCGAAATTAAAAATTTAAAAAAAAAAAAACCGCCCTTTAGACGGTTCTTCTTCTTCGACTCCGTCACAACAGCGCTGCGGTTCTCGAACTGCAGAGGAAACCAAAAATTGTAACCATATCGTATGCTCCGGAAACCCGACGAAAGACGCTCCGAAGAATCAAATAATGTTTTTTTTTTTAATTTGAGATCAAAGGTTAGGAACACTTATGCAACATGTAAGATGGTTTTTATTTCCCTATCGTTATCGCTGATCTCTACGGGAAACGGTTGGTAAATGTTTATATTCTGGAGCATTATTTTTCCACTTTATTACGTAACAACACGGAGAGCATTAGATTATTGCACTGTTCAATGTTTTATGCCTAGAAAATATTTCTAAATTTTACTCTCGAAATAAGTTATTTTATTTTACGCACATGTACGCCTATATTTTATTTTATATCTGATTTTCCACTTAATATTTTGCACACGCCTTTGACTATCGTAGTATCATCGTGCTATGCCTCCGCAGTTATTTATTCCAACGTGGGACTGCACTATCAATGTTTATCTATATGGTTATATTATTATACCTAACTTTCACCGGTAATCGCTAATTTTACTTATTTTGTCAAGACACGCGTTTTTTCCATAAATTTATTACGTTACGTACTGAATTTATTTCGTTCGTCCGTAATAATTATAAAGTCGAAAACCGTCCAATTATAGTTGAGCGCAAAATCAAAAATTCATTGAGTATACTATTTCATCGAGTCAATAATGAGAATAAGAAAAACTAAATAGTGACAACGAATCTCGTTTAAAAACCGCGAAGAGTTCAATATTTAAATAATTAAAACACTCAAAACTCGTTTTGAAAGCCTCCGGAGAAAACAACACACATCATTAACCAATATTGTTCAAACACAAATCCTTAGTAAATAACGTTAGTTATGAATATTGAATATTGTAAGTTACATAATTTTAATAACGCTATATAACGCTAAATATCAGTAAATGTAACATTTATTCTACCGTGACGAAGTCCATACGTTAAGAACGATCTATGTTGGTTATACAGTGCTGCTGTATATCGTATGTATTTACGTCATAACAGATGGATTCATAATATAAATAATAAGTATATGTTTGTGTGTGTATGTGTATAAGTAAATTAAAGTTCTTAAACTCGCACAGTGAGATAATGAACGGTTTTTTTTTATGTGTTTCCATAGTGAAATTAATTTCAATCAAATTATATACATGGACGTATATGGTATTAGTGGCAGCGTGGCGGCTGCAAACCGA